AGCAATGTATTCCAACCCCTATTCCCACGCCAAGCCTGGGTCCCAGCACTAGACGCTGCAGCCAAGAGGAAAGGACAGTTTTACAAATTTAAAACGCCTCCTGAGGGTGTCTTTTTGTAAATAATCCGTCCAGAGGGGGCGCCCTTTTCTAACTCGCACACCCACTCTGTGTGTCTAGGCCTGATCTGAGAGGTCTGATGGCTGATTACCTCCAACCTTCTCCCTCTTTTTATAAACACGCCAGTGACAGAGAGATATCAGAGGTCTAAGGCAGCACAGAGTCTTCTAAGAAAAGGAACCTGAGGTTCATCCAGCTGGTCTTGCCTCACTCTGGGTGAGAAACTGAACTGCTATCCTACTGTCTGAACCTAATCTGATCCTAAGTCTTCCCCTAATTGCCTGATGGAGTCATGCATTTTCCATCAACTTGCTGGCCAGGATTTTCAAAGATCAGCAGAGGTGCATCCTAAACTAGGGGTGGGCAATGTGGACAGGGAGTTCTAGGTCCATCGCATGCACACGCGTTCTCGGGCTGGCTGATTGTTTTTTCCACAAGGAGGGCACTGGGGTTTGATAAGGGCAGAAGCAGTTATGTGTGGTTTCTCAAACCAGTATAGAAAGTACACAGCCATGTGGTGCCAATGGCAAGAGCTCTTGGCTTCCCTGAGTTAATTTCTTCCTCTATGATGGAGATAATATCGCCTCCTTCATAAGTATATTGTGATGACCCAATAACATAATGCATGTAGAGTCCTCAGTACAGTAGCCCTTCAATAACAGGTAAGTATTTTCTCCTGGGGGTAAATCAAGGATGAGGGAGAAGCAGGGCTACAGTGAAGCATGTGGGCCGTCCTAGAGCACTGTCGGAGACGAAGGAAACAGCTTCCTCTCAGGAACACCTTGGCAAAAGAGGCATCAGTAAGTCTGGCAGTAAAACCCACCTGCTGAAGAAAAGACCTCCCTGGCGCCCCCTTGCCTCAGAGGCCCAGTTCTCCTGCTGGGTCTCTCAGTCTGTGGCTGGCAGCTGATTCCACTCCCTTCCGGCTCTGGGAGGCAGCATTGCACAGAGGAAAGCATAATGGGCTATTAAGGCAGGAGATCTGAATTTGGGATGACTTATAGTGTGCTATACCACAATATTTTTAGGGCCCACAAAAATGTTTGAGTATCCTTTAAAATCAGAGGCAAAAAAAATGAACTTTGAGGTCAAAGAAAATGTGTACACATATCATTTTAGTATAGAAGCCATAGTATATAGAAGCCAAGGTGCCAGTTACAGAATCCAAAAGAAGGAAGAGTCAGGAACTAAGGCACAAGACGTGGCATCAGCCAATCTCTACTTTATCCAGCTCTCTCATGGACTTCTCTCCATCATCTGAGTCTTCCTCATTCTAAATTAGGAATCATTTCTTCCCAACAAAAATTTATATAATGTGTTACAATTGCTTTCTCTTTGGGTAAGGGAGCTATTTTTAATCCTTATTTT